AAGACCTACAAAGTCGAGCACAGTTATTTTGGTTCATGTGTTTCGCTTTTGTGAATATGCAGTATTTTGCCTAGGGCTTTTGCTCACACCTGGATGAAAGCTGAGAGAGGTATTTATGACTGTGATCATGTATTGGTCACAACAGCACAGCCAGCGAGGTCAAAGAATTGTTACAAGTCAAATTCTGGAAGTGACATCGTGTTTACCAGACGCGACTTATAGCTTTTTTCTCGGCTAGAGAATTTGTTGGGTTTCAACTTGCTTTCTCTCCTTCTATGGTCCAAGGTAAGGCGAAGGTAGCCTGTCTCTGTATTGTATTTTTTATGTACACATTGAAATTCTGGCAGTGCTCGTATTTTAAATTCGAAACCTGTGATTTAATCATTTTGTATTTTAAAATAAGTTTACTTCAAGAAAAAATTCAAATTGCTTAATCTTTTAATTTTGTTGTTCTTCACACTACATTTCTCCTGTAGTCTATGCAGTTCGAACAGAGTGAGCATTTCTTCATGAATGGTATACAAGTCAGCATTGACGATCAAGTAAATATGCTCTAAAATTTGACTGATGGATAGACAAATTAGCATCCAAGAGAGGCTGTGTAGATCTACCTTTTGCGAGAGAGATTTACTGCCCAATCATGTCAAACACAAGCCATGTCAAACAGGCATAGTGGCTGGTGTTGTATGTGTTATTTTTGTTCTAGAAACGAGATACGTAAACAACTGGAATTAAAACTTGAAATAGATATTAATTGTACCTGTCAACAATCATATTGAATATTTCTGCATTGCTAGTGAAATGAACACTAACAATTGCCAAGATAGGGATAAAATAATGTCATTACTGTTTCCAAGAAAGAAACTATTGTTATTTTTATTGTTTACATTCCAATCTGCAATACCCTTTTTTGTTTTGTATTGCATCAAGCTGATGGGACTCCCTATAGTTTACTCAAGGTGCACTTTTTATCAGGCAGGAGGTATGACAAAAAGGCAGGGATTTAAAACATGCATTGCTAATTTATCCACGAATAGAGAAGTAATGGGTCTACTGTAGATATGTGAAAGGTGTTTCAAGTTTAAAGCTACATGTATATGAAAGGGTAACCTTTTCTGAAAAAAAAAAACACTATCCAAAAGGGAAAGTTTAATGACCTTGGGGCAGAGCCTCATTGTGTAAATCTTGGTTAGCTCCCTTCTCCCTCTCCCTGGACATAGTTATGTAAAGAAAACTTATATAACTGTAAATAAAAACATCCCCTTCACTTTGGGTTCAAACTCAGAAACAAAATTGAACGTTTTTGGTACAACATGTAGCAAAAGGAATTTAAGGCAGAGTATCATTTTCAGCAAAGCTATTTCAAGTAGCTCTTTCAGGGAGGGATGCTGAAAACTGTTTGAAATGATTCTTATAATATTTGCAAAAATACTTTTCTCTCTATTTCCATTTACCAGCTTGCTAAAATCAAACTGTTCATGTTTGCAAATATCTTTGCGGGTGAGCAAAAGCGAGCCAGAAGACTAATCTTGACGTCGGTGGTCAGTGGCACTTTCTTAAAGTATACAGAGTGCTAGAGCCAACTTGGAGCAAAATGTGGGCACATTCTTGGCATTTTTTTGTTCTTCAA